GTCAGTCCGACTTTGGAAAACATAGGTAGTTACACGTATCATTGAAATGATGCATAAGGTACTTCGAAGACGACCCGACTTTTGCGTGTATCATTAATATGATAGACACGGAGGGCAGACCCTAATATTCTCGCCAAAGCGTAATTGGATTTTTGGGAAGAAGTTGCGAAACCTTATTGGCGCGGCTTTTTAAGAGCCAAGTAGTAACTCTTCTATTAGCTATTTAAATGATTGCTGGTACAGTGTACCCGTCTCACACATGCGTAGATATGATAGTGGGGTTACTATATTGGAAGTCAGTCCGACTTTGGAAAACGTAGGTAGTTACACGTATCATTGAAATGATGCATAAGGTACTTCGAAGACGACCCGACTTTTGCGTGTATCATTAATATGATAGACACGGAGGGCACACCATAATCGACTTTGCGAGAAAGAGTACTCGCCAAAGGGTGAAGGGATTTTTTATCGTCTCACACATGCGTAGATATGATAGTGGGGTAACTATATTGGAAGTCAGTCCGACTTTGGAAAACCTAGGTAGTTACACGTATCATTGAAATGATACATAAGGTACTTCGAAGACGACCCGACTTTTGCGTGTATCATTTATATGATGGACACGGAGGGCAGACCATAATCAACTTTGCGAGAAAGAGTACTTGCCAAAAGGTGAAGGGATTTTTTTTAATCGTCTCACACATGCGTAGATATGATAGTTGGGTTACTATATTGGAAGTCAGTCCGACTTTGAAAAACCTACTAGGTAGTTACACGTATCATTGAAATGATACATAAGGTACTTCGAAGACGACCCGACTTTTGCGTGTATCATTTATATGATAGACACGGAGGGCAGACCATAATATACTCGCCAATTGGATTTTTGGGAAGAAGTTGCGAAACCTTATTGGCGCGGCTTTTTAAGAGCCAAGTGGTAACTCTTCTATTAGCTATTTAAATGATTGCTGGTACAGTGTACCCGTCTCACACATGCGTAGATATGATAGTGGGGTTACTATATTGGAAGTCAGTCCGACTTTGGAAAACCTAGGTAGTTACACGTATCATTGAAATGATACATAAAGCACTCCGAGGACGACCCGACGTTTACGTGTATCATTTATATGATAGACACGGAGGGCAGACCCTAATATACTCGCCAATTGGATTTTTGGGAAGAAGTTGCGAAACCTTATTGGCGCGGCTTTTTAAGAGCCAAGTGGTAACTCTTCTATTAGCTATTTAAATGATTGCTGGTACAGTGTACCCGTCTCACACATGCGTAAATATGATAGTGGGGTTACTATATATATAGTGGAAGTCAGTCCGACTTTGGAAAACCTAGGTAGTTACACGTATCATTGAAATGATACATAAGGTACTTCGAAGACGACCCGACTTTTGCGTGTATCATTTATACGATACACGCGGAGGGCAAACTTTAATCGCCTTTGCGAGAAAGAGTACTCGCCAAAGGGTGAAGGATTTTTGGGAAGAAGTTGTGAAACCGTAACGGCTTTGCAAAGGTCACCTTTCTAGTTGATGATTATTTTATACTTATGTTTAAATCATTTGTGATTTCTGTATCCCACGTACTCATGCATCGTGTCCTATCAGCCTATATGGGCTGGGCGACAATATTTATACACTTCTATGCACTCCGAAGAAGCCTGACTTTTACCTGTATGATTGCAATTATATACACGGGGGACGATTTTGCAACGATTGAGATTTTTAAAGTCGGACTGTCTTCATGCTGTCTAACAACAATTTTGGTAAAAATTAGGTAATTTTCGGGGCGCAATGTGATTCAGGTGAAAGTCGTGTTGTCGTCGACGTGTTTGCAACGATACAGGCAAAATGTATCGGCTATCGAATGATTGCTAGCGTACTCGTTTTTACACATGTGCATACATGTCAGTGGCTCGTTCAAGCAAAAGAGCCATATATATAATTCTTGAGCATTCTTTCCCGAAAGGGTGAGTATTGCGCAGTACACTGCCCTTGGCTTGGCAGCGGCCCTTCGCCGGGTAATGACGTCGCTGGACGTGACCCGGAAACAGATGCAACCAGATACCGCGAAACCCCCATAGGGTGCGTATTTTGACGGAAATCCAATGACGGAAACCTCGCCGAAAAATGGAAATGAGTCAACTTTGACGCTACAAAGCTCGTTTTTGTGTACAAGTGTGATCTTCAAGTGAACTTCCCGAGGTTCCCTGACTTGTAAGGATTACAACGACATATATTTTAGCCTGGCTTTCCCGATTCTGACTGCGCTATGATAAATTCTGTGAACCATGCTAAGGACTCATTTCGGCGGTTAACATGAGAGCTATGAGTAAATTTTCCTGAATATTATATATAATAAATAGGTTCTTTTGTTAATATTTGTTTTTCTCTCCAGGCATTAAGAGGATGGAAGAAACCCGCCCTGATGGTGTTGTGGACTGTGTGACGGAGTGCCCTCTGACACACTTTGATGATAACAACGTGTGCAAAAGTATGTCGTAACATATTTTTACGCAACAAATGGTAAATAATCACTGCAGAGTGTAAATGTCAATTAACTTCCACTGAATTGTAAATTCATTCTTAGTGATAAGCTTTGTGAATTCTATAGTCTATTCTATTTAAAGAATTCACCTTTTTCGTGATTGCTACCATAATATTAAATCACACAATGTTGTAAGATTTATTTGAGCAACGTTGTTTAAAGAAGTTGTTTTTGGGAAATAACCACCCAGAAAGCTTGTATAAGAGATGAAAGTCAGTGAATCAGTTAATTAGGCAAAAATGATGAAAACGGTCTTAACCATACTGAGTTTGTTAACCTAAGTTTCGTCCAGTGTTAGCCTTTTCCAAGTCACTATTTTTTACCTATTGAATACATGTAATTTTTAAGCGAAAGCATATTTCTATGTAGAATGCAGCAGCTTTTGTAAAGACGTCAGTAATGAAGGGAAAAGGACCTGCTCCGGACCTGCTTCAACAGACTGTGGCACCTGCAAGTATCAATATGAGGGACGCTGTGTAGAAGGATGTAGACCTGGACAGAAAGCTGTGAAGGGTTTGTCATGTTTCATATATCGACATTCCTTTGGGGAGGGGGGGGGTAAACAATTTTGCCATAAGCTACGGTCTGAATTGCACTGGTAAAATAATTGGACAAATACATGTGTAGCTACTAATATCTAAAAGAATTGTTAGGATAAAAGTTTGTTAAATACATTACTTTGGTAGATACAATCAATTTTTTATTTTAAAAATAGATCTTTGCCTATTACTGGGTTGTCGTAATGTACATAAAACGAGTTAATGCATCGGAATTAGAAAGTTATTATACGTTGACAATATTAAGCAGATAAAAAGACCTCCGAGTCGGGGGCATTGTCAAAAAAATACATATCATGAACATAGATTTCCAATTATTACCTCCAAGACGTGTCATGTGGGTTTTATTTTCAGTTGCGTTTGTCAGTCAGTCTGTCAGTCTATCTGTCTTTTAGTCAACAAAATAACATAAGAACGCCTGGATGGATTGGTTTCTCACTTGTGTCGGTAGGGTGTGGCGAAACCTGGAAATGATTAGATTTTGGGCCGCCTAGTGGCTTCCCCTGGTACTGCAGCGCAACTTCCGGTTTTGATATCTTGCAATCTGGACATGCAAGGGTAATAGATTTTAATTGGTAGGTAGCTCTTGTCCTCGGAAAGAAGTCGCATGAGTTTTGGCCCCCTAGTGACTTGTTCTGGAACTGCAAGATGGTTAGTTTGCAAAATCTTCGAGAGGGGATAATGAAAACAACCGTTGGACGGATTTTCGTGACTTTTGGTATGTAGGTAGCTTAAGTGATGCTTGACATAATTGAATTATAATTACGACAAATCCTTGCTGTGCATAATGCTACTACAATGATAAATAAAGTTAGATGTCACGTTCCTAAAATAAACTATTTTTGTAAGTATTTAGTAAGTCGCATATTTGTTCCTTTTTTGCAGCTGATAACAACAATACCTTCACCTGCCGCAAATGTCGTCCCGGCCATGAGTGTAAGCTGGGGGACGAGCAGGAAGACATCTGTCCAGCGGGAACGGCCAGTAACGACAACAGGACAATGTGCGTGCCGTGTGCAGCAGGGGAGTTTAGCAGCGCTCCGGGAGCGGCGTCCTGTCAGAAGTGCCCAGCCGGGAAGTACAGCACAGGCGGGGGGTCAACAAGCTGTTTAGACTGCCCAGCGGGAAAGTACAGCGAGAGAGAAGGTTCCACGGGTTGTAAGATTTGTCCTGCCGGACAATACAGTAGCCCAGCGGGGTCAAACGGCTGCAAGGACTGTCCTGTCGGACAATACGGCAATGCAGCAGAGTCTACGGGTTGTAAGATTTGTCCTGCCGGGCAGTACAGCGATACAGCAAGATCCACGGGTTGTAAGGACTGCCCTGCCGGGAAGTACAGCGATGCAACCAAGTCGACCGGTTGTAAGAACTGTCCTGCCGGACAATACAATAGCAGAACGGGGTCAAACCGCTGTTGGGACTGCCCTGCTGGACAATACATGACCAGAGCTGGCTCAGCCACCTGTTGGGACTGTCCTGCTGGAAGATACAGCAATAGAGTTAGATCCACGACTTGCACTCCCTGTCCTGCAGGGCAATACAGCAGCGGAACGAGGTCTACGGGGTGCACCAACTGCCCTGGTGGAATATTCACCAGCACCGCGGGGTCTCAAAGATGCACTGCCTGTCGTTATGGGGGGACGTCGAACGCAGCGGGTAGACCTGCTTGCCAAGGTTAGATACATATCGCCTTTTATATAAACGATTTTTATACATAGAAATCAATTTAAAAAGTCAATATTTGCAAGTAATGAACCAATAGAGCCATTTAGGAAACGTTTCTTTTTCTTTCTTTTTCTTTTTTGTTGCTTGTGACTGTGTGGAACCTATATTAGTTGCGTTTTAGGTAAGACACAATCGTCACCAATGATACCTTGGGGTGGCATTTTTTTTCTATTTCTTCTTGTAAACATTGTTAAGCTCCTATTTGTGTAATTTGTTTTGTATTTTTCTTTAAAATAATCCATTGATTATTATTGGTCTACTCTTTTTTTGCACCATTTACACCACTATATAAAGGTGAGGGTTATTTAAGAGATAGAGTTAGGGTCATTCTTGGGGGGAAATATCTTAATTTCAAGCCTGTCAATAAGATATTTGTAATAGGGATATTACTGATGTTGCTTTAGCACATGTTCCGTCCTGATTTAACCCTCATCCGACTGACTGGAGACATTTTGGACGTCAGGTGTACATTTTTTCAGGTCCCAATCTCATCATCTTCGATACAAAAGAGCTTCTTCTATGACTCTGTGTTCGTATATATGTCTTACATATTTTAAAATATTTTAATCGGGATTGGCTGAAAAAGCTATAAAGTATACTGGAAAGTATTTGTGGGGACCCATCCAAAACATATACTGAAGGAGCCAATGGTAAAAGTACTAGTTAAAAAGGGTACCAGTATATGTGTGCTTGGGTGGAGTTATAATTCGATGGCAGTGTAAGCTCACAGGTTTTTCTATCAGACTCAAAACGTAAGCCATCATCATTCAAACAGTGTGATTATTCAAAGTTAAGATGATCGATCTAAGAACCACTGTATCAACAAAACTTGACATCACAACCAGACGTGGTATTAAATCCAACTGTTCTTCATTTCACAGGTAGTACACGACTTTCATCTCGAGTTTGTGAAGATGAGACAATGTCCTTGTCTTGTAACTATGGTCTGGAGATACAAGTACATTATGCCATGTACGGTCGTAAAAACGGTAGCACCTGTAAGAAAGGTTGGCTACTCACCCACGACTGCGCCAGTTCAAACAGTCTGTCAAAAGTCCGAGAATATTGCCAGGGTCGTCGCACTTGCTCTATCCAGGCATCAAATAGCGTGTTTGGAGAGCCCTGCTTTGGCACAGCGAAGTATCTCGAAGCCACGTATACTTGTATCGGCAGTAAGTATTAATATACTGGTATCGGTACCTTTGTATACACCATGATTGTTGTATTTTGGTAACTATTGTTATTGATATTATGTTTCAAGTTCATCTTTGTTGGTAGGCGTCATTATTCGGCAGGCATAAACTGTAATTTTCAGCACTGAAAGAAATTGGACTTTTCCAAATTTTCGACTGTACAACTCCAATCTTTATCAAGGAATGAGCAATCCATTGCCTCCGTGACGTCACGTTATGCAGATGACACACGTAACTCCGTGAGCATAGGATCAAAAGTTGCAAAAAAGAGTTAATACTGACCCTCAAGATTTGGAGAAAGAGAAACAACACATACAGGCTTTAAGAAAGTGTGGGTATCAGACGTGGACTCTAGATAAGACCAATAGACCAAAGACTTTCTCCAATTTATTAATCATTGATCACGAAGTCATAATGTGACATCATGGAAGCGGTAAATTGCGGTAAAATAAATACTTATAAGTCAGTTGTTTTTGTAAATTAATTAGAATGATACCTGACAAAGAAAAAAGTGGGAAATTTAATAGTAGCTTTTCTTAAAATTACTAAACTATAAAACAATAAAAGCCCCAGTGTTTCCATTGATATTTATTTCGCTATTTATTTCGATTTTGGAATCAGTACGGATTCTAAGATACAGATTGACATGTAAACAGGAACAGTTTTTAAAAATCCGTTGAATACTTTATAAAATTATAAACGTCACATATTATTGTTCTAAATCTGTAAAATTTATAAATAGAAAACATAAAAATAAGGTACCAGGAACTGCAAAGTCATAGGGCACAAACTTTCGACAAGAAGGAATATATTTGTACTATTTCGTAATATACTTTGCTTTTGCATGGTAATCATAACCGGTTACGTCTTCTAATTTTAGCCAATACGTCGTTTTATAAACCTAGATTTAAAAAAGAGACATGAATTATATTTTTAACCAACGTCTTTCCAATCTATCCATATTAGCTCCCTGAGGTGGCCGGAATCAGCTTGCAGTGAAAATGTCAACGGAACTTCACAAGAGAGATGAGAAAATTCCCTCACATAGTTTAATTTAGTAAAATAGTAGCTTTATTCTTAAGAATTGCTTCTCGTTCTATTTGCATTTTGCTTAGCCCGTTTGAAATATTCATGGTTGCATAAAAAGCTCTAATATTTTACGAGAAAGCATGCTCCAGCTCCTGTAAGGTCCTATAGGACTCTCCCCGTCGTCTATAGAAAAACTGCACTACGGTTGTCCTCTACTCGTAGCATCATTACCCTTAGCATAATGCTATATTTTAGGCATCCTTTCTGAGTAAACTTGCTCAATAGTGGCTTTATAGATCTGGTCTATATTTAAATTCAGTCTTAAGCTACTGTTCTGGTTTTGCAGATAATATTTTCCTGAATCCCAAAATGTTGGGAAGTACATTAGTTGACATTATGGTTTGCCTAGGCAGCAGTAGTATCATACAGCACCAATATCCTGGTATCCTGACATCAATATCCTAGTAAACATTGGTGTGGGTGGAGATACACTACTCAGTTAACGGATTATAAAAAAAGTCAATTTCCTGTTAATTTGTGACTAATTATAAGTTTTTTTTTTAATTCCCACTGAATTTTCTTTTAGAAAATAATATACCACTTTGCCCTTGAGACTGTCTTTAATTTAGAAGGTGAAAGCGATTAGATCCCATTATTTTTGTTAATTGTTTACAATGACCTTTTATTATTCTTGAGGGTATGTTTGGTTAAGGGTGCAATCTCTGTACACGGTCTTTTTACGTTCTTTTTAGCTGTAGTAGGTACAAACTATGGTACCTTTAAATCTCCGGTTTGTAGTTCACAGGGGTGTGTTTACGTTACTCAGGCTCCTTTTTGTATCAAGACAGGTGTGCTTCGGTAGTTTTACAGCATTTGTAGCCGGACATTAATATTCATGAGAGCGTTGGTAATTTTTGTTTTATATAAACCATTATATATCCTAAACGGGGCACTTGGTAACATTCGGAGTGTTTTAATTGAACATTGCAATTGAAGTCTTTGCTAGATTCCATTTTTTAACATATTTTCGCAATTATCTAAAATTTCTATCATTATGGTTGGCGCTTGAACCAGAATGTAAACAAAAAATTTCCATTTTTAGAAACACTTGTATGGTGTAACCCTTTGGCACCTCCACTTCCTAAATGGTGCGTATTTACAATGGAGTGGGGTTGATTCAACTCAATTTATTAAGAAAACGACCAGAAAATTAACTTTGTGTAACTGTAGTGAAGTTACATAAGGCAGCTTACAATTTGTGCGTATGTAATTTTCCAGTCATGATTTAAAGACTATGAATATCCCTGAAAATCCGTTTTTTTTTAATGTTAGCGACTTGGACAGAAATCAACTAACACAGCTTGACCAACCAAAAGATTCCACTTTGGTTGTTACTGTTGTTTTTATATGCGGGATTCACAAAGCTCCCACCTCTACACATTAATAAGTATCCGGATGCAGGCGCACTATGTCCTCATGATAAAAATCATTCCGTTTTGATACTTAAGAATTAACCCTATCCAAATCGGGAAGAGGGTATTAAAGGCCGGGCCAGGTCACATGCCGTACTAGGGCTGAACGGCTTAACATTAGCCATTGTTCTGCGCGACTTTACCTAATTTTTCTAATAGCTAGGTAAGTTTAATGATCAACGCGTAGCTATAGTAGGTCCAGGAATGTCTTTAAATTCTGTTATGCTCACATTTTGCTTGTTTCATTGTATTCCTTATAGAGCTCCGAAGAAATAGCATTTATCGACTGTTGTAGCTTACACCCCCTGTAATTATGAAATTTGAAATTAATACAATATGTATTTGAAGAGTGACAAAGACGATTAAACTACCCATTTCGTAGTTCTACGATTACTAAAGAGGATGGTCTGAATAGTTTAAATGGTCTTTTTTTTTTCTGCAGTAGAGGCTGTGACATTGCATTATTACCGTTTTACAGAGAATTTTGTTGTAGTTTCTAATGAAGGGTCTACACCGCCAAGTCGCCAAATACTGCCTGGGCCACTTTACTTACAGGTCTAGCAGAAGTTATAACTAAAGACCAGCTTTGAATACGACGTGGAGTCGATAGAATCGACATACGAGCCATTTTTTGTTTTGGCTATGCAATTTTGATGACATCGCACTGTTAACAGTGTAATGTTCATTTTCTTCTGTTCTAATGGAAAGAAAAAAGCGACAAGGAGGAGTGAGGAGAATTTTTTTTGAACGCCAAAATATTATTGTGTGTCAACAACCCCCTTGGTAGGAAATAATTTGAACAGAAAAAATGAACATTAAAGCACGGTAGACAGGAATTAGCCTTAAGGCAAGTGATAGGCCTGTCTTAATTGAGATATGATGTTGCTACCATCTGTCATTTAACGTGTGTATCTCCTGATGTTCATCATTATGACCCATGTAAGAATTTTACTATACGTTTGCTTTTACACATTTACTCATATATTCATAGCAAAGGTAATTCAAGATTAGACCCCAGTCATGTACAGTTGTATGTCTTGCACTACTGAAAACGAACATGTTTATACCATAACATTCGCCATGACTGTAGTAGACAGTCATTGCCTCATAATTAACAAGTTGAAGAAAGATCTCATGTAACATCCGCACGTAAACATGTAATTGGTATCAAGACCAAAGTCTACAAGACTTACACAATTAAGAATGTAAAGACCATCAACTGTACTCCTGTGATGTCGGCAGATGTCTGCCGTTTGTCATTGAGACTGGAGATGAAAACGTTAAGTTTTGTATGTTTCTTGGTTATTCCAGACACGCAGTTAATTTGCTTTTTAATTATTTACTCTATAAAAGTTAGGGTCTGCAACGTCAAGTCGTTGGATACTGCACGTTGGATAATTTTCGTATTAACTAAGTACTAAAGATAAAAGACTGACAGAAATTGAAATTAAGAGCAGCTTAATTGAAACTGCGAAGTTGGCAGGATTGACCTTTTGGCTCTCAAAAAGTTGTAGTTAAAACCACTTGGCTTTGCAACATTGATGACATCACACAAATAACAGCGTAATGTTCATTTTCTTTTGTTCTGATTAAAAATAATGAGAACAAGTGAAGACCAGTTTGGCCTGTTCATGTCAAAATATAAACGAAAATGTCTGTAAGTCATCACTGTCAGTAGGAACACTTGAACAAAAAGGAAAATTGAACATTAAAGCACAGTAGAGAAGAATTAGCCTTAAGGCAAGTGGCAGGCCTGTCTTAATTGAGATTTAATGTTTGTCACCATCTGTCATTCATGTGTATAACCTGATGTTCATCATTATGACCCATGTAAGAATTTTACTTTTCTTTTTTTTTTCACATTTACTCATATATCCATAGGTAACGTTAAGTTAAGATTAGACCCCAGTCCTGTACTGTTGTATGTCTTACACTACTGAAGACGAACATGTTATACGATAACATTCGGCATGACTGTATTCGACAGTCATTGCCTTATGATTAACATCTTAGAGAAAGTTCTCATGTAACACCTGTACGTAAACATGAAATTGGTATAAAGACCAAAGTCTACAAGACTTACACAATGAAGAATGTAAAGACCATCAACTGTACTTCTGTGATGTCGGCAGATGTCTGCCGTTTGTCATTGAGACTGGAGATGAAAACGTTAAGTTTTGTATGTTTCTTGGTTATTCCAGACACGCAGTTTATTTCCTTTTTAATTGTTTACTCTGTAAAAGTTAGGGTCTGCACAGTCAAGTCGTTGGATACTGCACGTTCGATAATTTTCGTATTAACTAAGTACTAAAGATGCAGGACTGACAGAAATTAAAATTAAAGAGCAGCTTAATTGAAATTGGAAAGCTGAGAGACAGGATTGACCTTTTAGTGTTAAAAATAGCAGTTAAAACCACTTGGCTTTGCAACATTGATGACATCACACAAATAACAGCGTAATGTTCATTTTCTTTTGTTCTGATTAAAAATAATGAGAACAAGTGAAGACCAGTTTGGCCTGTTAAAGTCAAAATATAAACGAAAATGTCTGTAAGTCATCACCGTCAGTAGGAACACTTGAACAGAAAGAAAAACTGAACATTGGAGCAAGGTAGAAAAGAATTTAAGATGGAAGCTTAAATTTAAGATTTAAGCCTAAATCGCAAAAGACCAATGGCACGTCTGTATTTAGAGACAGAATGTTTGTTCACCATCTGCCTGTCAATGTGTGTACCACCTGATGTTCATCATTGTGACCCACGTAAAAATTTAATCATCAATCTTTTAAAGCATTTACTCATATATCCATAGGTAACGTTAAGTTAAGATTAGACCCCAGTCGTGTACAGTTGAATATCGCGTTACAGAAGAACAACATTCTTTACGATCATCTTCGTTGTTATGAAACGGTAGTTAACATCAGGTAAAAGGCATGTTTATGGAATTTGGATGAAGTTCTTTGTAACATCTATGTGTAAAACATAGATTTGTTATAAAGACTTCAAGTCTACAAGAGTTACACAGCCTGTAACGTAGAACTGATTTACTGTGCTTCCGTGATGTCGGCAGATTTTAAACGTCAATATTAAAGGCTAATGGATTTTGATGGATGATATGATATTGAGTCGACACACTTTAGCAGTAATGTTTACCATCAGATGATCTGATATGAGCACGAACAGTGACAGACGTATGAAGATACAACTGATATAAAAGCATCATAAATCAGAATATCTGTAAAGCAATGCATTATTCATATTATAATGATGTTTCCATACCCGAAGGAATATACCAAATACCAAACGCAGGTAAATGAGTCTGTACTAATGTTATACTTGCTCACACTGTTCGATCTGCCGTTCATCATTGAGACTGGAGATATTTTTAAAATGTTAAGTTCTGTATTTACTTTGCTTGTTCAAGAATATACTCAAAAGCTTCCAGCTCAATATGTCTTTGTTCATAACTGTGTTCGTTGTCAGGATATGCATGGTTGGTTCATATTTTATGTATGTGTATGTATGTGTGTGCTTGTGAATGTGTCTGTTTGTGTGTGTGTTTGTGTTTGTGTGTGCGTGTTTGTTTGTGAAATCTAGGTGTGATAATAAAGAAATTAACCCTTTGTTTTCAATATGTCACGAATTTGAACACGTAAAGACCAGTGGAATGCAGATCTATAAAAGGTATCCATTAATTGATTATGTTGAATTAGATCCCGATTTGCATCATTCTAATTTAGTCAAGCATCACTTTAAGCTACCTACATACGAAAAATAACATCAACTTTCGACCAGTTCTTGAGTTACTCTACTTTAGATATTTTCAAGTTACGCTGCAGTACCATAATAAACCGCCAGGAGTAAAAATTGTAATCGTTTTTTTGTCTAGATCTTATCAAAACTTAACCACTTACGAAATATCAAGATAATTAATCTGAGCCTTTAGTAATGCTCGAGTAACACACACACGCACGCACACACACAGTCGGACACCCACACACACACAAATATAATACACATACACACACGCACACACACACGCACACACACCGGTCCCATAGCAGTTACGTGACGGCCGTCGGGATGTGGCTACCACAGCCATTTTCTCTTCTATGTTCTGCGCCCATAGCTACGAAGATGTTATGGTTTAATGTAAAGAAAATTGCAGGGTTAACATAAATAACATTAACAAACTTTGAGACATTTTCAAAGACGGCGTTTTTGTGACGTTTTTTGTAAAATAGATTTCAGTAGAAGCTATAAATGTGTACTTTGTAAATTTTTATTGAGTATAGACTTTGGCTAACTGTAAGCTTCTGTTTTCTATTGTGTCACTGGAATATGTAGCAGAGGACAGTCTAAGGCGTCACTGAAACAGAGGGAAAATATTGCCTTGTTCACAAACATCTTACTAGTAACAACAAAAAAGCAAAAAATCTACAACAAAAGTTCAGGCGTGACGTCTTGCCAACTGCTTCGCTGATTGTTAGCTACAACCCGTTGTTTTCTTCTATTCCCTAGAAATGTATGTTTTAATATATTCGAATCCAAGATCGCTATCTTTTTCAACGTGTACGATAGTGTAAATAGCAAGTTGTACCCCCCCCCTTGAGTCCGAATGGTATGATCCGCAGCTAGGGGTCTGAGGTACATACACTCTTGTCTGTTTCTTGAATATAACCCAATACATCCACGTCTGCGGCCAGTGTGATCATTCTTTGTAAGGTCCAATCGAGCTAGTACTCTTACAATATTTTTACCATCGAAAATGCTTTGCATAATTTTTTTTTTTTTAAACGATCGCAATAATCTATTCCAGCACAGTGCACACTGGTTTTACTAAAATTACATGATACTGTTCCTCATCAATGTATCTGAATTCATGATCAGTGTCTTCTTAACGTAAATCTTACGATCGAAAATGTCCAGCAAATGGAGGCACGCCCCCCTCTAGCCGTGGACGACTCTAGTAGTCTTTTTGCATGATACTAGTAATGCCGGATACACTCATGGGGCACCCCATAGGCGAAAACCAACCTGTGCCGTGCCGGGCCTCATGCAACGGGCCGGCCCGGATTTTTGGTTTCCCTGTCTTCCCGACGCACTCACCTGCCCGGCCGGGGGGATAAGACCCTAAACAAACGCAGCGATTAACCACAACACGGCCTCGGAGCACGTAACTCCATACAATTTAATCATCGCCGATCGGCGGCCATGTTGAATTCAAGAATCCCCCCACAAAACAGGTCGGACCCTGAGTTTACGACATATTAACTCATTTTCAACTCCCCAACGTTCATGCTGCAGGTATCATGACGTAATCTGTCATAAACGCATGGTCATGGATAAACGGCATTTACCGATTTGAAGGTTGCGGAGT